AAAAAAAAAAAAAAAAAAACACCAGAATTCATAGAACTGTACACCAAAAGAAAACAGACTTAGGCTGAGTGTGGTGGCCTATACCTGTGATCCTAGCATTTGGGAGGCCAAGGCAAGAGGATCACTGTGAACTCAAGGCCAGCCTGAACTACATGGTGAGACCCTGTCCATTAAAGGCAAACCAAATCACACCAAAACAAAACCAGCTAAAAACAACAAAAACACAACAAACTCAGTTTTATTATATAATTTTTTTTTTTTTAAAAACAAATGGTTCAATTTCTTTCCTTTGGATAGATTTTGGGTTGTTTCTTTGTTTTTTGGGTTTTTTTGTTTTTTTTTTTTTGAGATTGGGTTGCTATGTTGCCTAGACTGGCCTCCAGTTCGTGAGGTCAAATAATCCTCCTGTTCTGAATGGCTGGGATTACCAGTGCATCAGGGCTGGGGATGCAGCTCAGAGGCACAGCACCTGCCTGCCAAGTGCAAGGTCCTGAGTTTGACCCCCGGTACCACAACAACAAAAACAACAATAGCAACAACAACAACCAGATTGTGCCACCATGCTCAGCTCCAGATAGATTTTACGATTCCTGTTGTACAGATAAAGCAACTGCTATCATCACCCTAAGATTTCAACTGTCTGAGTCAGTTCTGGAGGCCACATGATGACCCCAAAATGTGAGCTCCTAAACAGAAACAGCTGGGAGGGCTTCTCCATTTTAACCTAAGAATACTAATGTACTTTGGGGTGTGTCTGGTGGAGGCCACAGCCTCCTGACCAAGTGATTCTCTGTTGACATGCACCTCAAAGCCTTAGGGAGACCCAGTTATTCAAAGGTGTTAGTTTTTGATAAAGCCAAAGCCTCCCCTGACCCAGGGCAGCCCCAAGCAGGGAGAGACCCTGCTTGGAGGAGAAGTGAAGACTCCCCCACCTTGGCTGGCTGCCTCGTGGAAGGTGGGGACAAAATTAGGTCCACTATGCAAAGCAACAGGAAAGCGAGGGCTCCAGCTCAGTGGAGGCAGATGCCAAAACAAGCCAGTTCCCTCTGCCAACCCCAGGCCAGGGAGGGAACTGGGCCTGGCTGCCTCCATGAGCCTGGCCAGAGCGCGCCCTGTTGAGTGATGGGGAAATTGACCTGAATCTCCAGAGGGGATCTGTTAAAAAGTGGTGCTTCTCGGCTGCCTGCTTCGTAAGCGCAAGGTCCTGAGGTCAAGCCTTGGTTCAAAAAATAAAACAAAACAAAACTGGTGCTTCTCAGCTGGCATGGCGGCGCATACCTGTAAACTCAGCACTCTGGGAGACTGAGGCAAGAGGATCAGAAATCCAAGCCTGAGTCTGGGCAGTTTAGTAATTTATTGAGATCTTGTCTCAAAAAAGATAAAAATAAAAAATAGAGAAGGGCTAGGATGTAGTATAGTGTGAAGGCCTTGGGTTCAAGCCCCAATACTGGAAAACAAAAATGCTGTGCTTCTCTCAGCAGCTCCCACATATTCTTCAGGCAAAATGGCAGCTCCCTCAGGTTAGGGCTTTGCCTACCTAAGTCCAGAGCATGAACGGCAGAGAAATTCTTTTGAGTTCCCCCCAGGTCAACAGGAAGTGGAGCACAGACTGGTTTGGGGGGGACTCTTTCCATAGGTAGGTTGATTGCCCTTCACCTCCCAGCTGTGAGCTGTTTCCACTTACTTCTGTCGCTGGTACCTAGGGACCATCTTGTGGGGACCATGAGATCCAGGGTGCCTCTGATGTGCTGCTGGGAAAGTCTGAAAGGGTCACTTAAGGACCCACAAATGTTATCACGGGAAACCTCCTTTAGAAATTGTTTCTCTTGGTGGCTCTGGGTTAACTTGAAAAGAAAAAGTTCCAGGCTTAGTGGAGGATGAAGTAGGGGGAGGAAGGGGTGCTGTAGAGTCAGGAAACCCCTCCTCCCAGACAGCTTCTAGTCTGACTGGTGAACCGAAGCCAAGTGAATAGCCCAGGCAGCAGCCCAAGCCCACAGCTATCCAGGTTGATCTGAACCCAGCTAGGGCAGTGCTCAGGGTGCTTTGGGAGGGCCTTTCGGAGGCAGAGATCTTGAAGGTCCGCCGGTTTGGAACAGGTTGGGGTGGGAAGAGCCCTTTAGAGCAGCCAGGACTCGATTGCTGCTCTGGGTCAATGGTGTGTAAGACGAGGGCATCCACCCTGGGGAAGGGCCAGCTGGGTCCCCTTTCTTTGGCCCAGCCAGGCCCAGAGGGGGAGATGACAGGGGGATGTGACCACGGGCCCCAGCAGGAGCCCCAGAGGAGAGGAGAGGGTAAGCATAGTAGTCACCCCCTTCCACAGCCTCATAGGCCCACAGATCTCACACTCAGGTGCCAGCACCTATGCACCGTACCCCACGAGATGTCGCATGCCTGTGTGGAGGTTGTCAGACACACTGTTTATTCCATGGGAGAATGGGCTCCAGGTACAGCAGTCCCTCAGACGGGAGAGGATGTGAGAGAGGAACGCAGTTCTCCGTGGCCTTCTGGGGTCCTTGGGGAGCCACGGCCCTTCCAAGGCCCTACAAGAAGTCAGTCTGTCTTGAGTCCATCTGCAGGTTTCAACAAGTCTCTGCTTTGCTGTCCCAAACGTGGGGATCCTGCATAGCACCCACCGAAGCCTGGCCCAGTCTATCCCCAGAGATCTTCCCGTTCTAAATCACTGTCTGTTGTCCTATTCTAGGCCCCCTGGCAAGAGCTGGGACCAACAGCTGGAGGGGGAGGCGGCTCTGGTGGGCCAGGCGCAGAGGCCAGCTGGGGGTCCAGGGAGGAGGGTACGAGCCATGAACCAGGCAACTCTGATGCAGTCAGTGAGGCCCAGGAGTGGTCCTGGGTCATGGGGAGCTGGCTCCTCACTCCTGGCCCGGGTGCTCCCCGACAGACCACTTCACCTCCCCCGTCCGCAGAGTCACTATGTCCTCATAGGTGGCCGTCTGGTCAATGTCCAGGCCCTGCAGACATGAAATAGAGTTCAGGCCCAGGCCGCGCCCTGACCTCACCAACAGATGTGGGGCTGCTGACTGCTCCCTTCAGAGTGGCCCGGTCATCCTGTTCTTACCTCATAGGTGTGATCTTCTTCCATCCCGGCTTTGCTGTCATCCTGGGAGTGGGAGAGGTGGTGATCAGAGCGTCAGCCTCCCCCGGCCCCATCCCCTATTGGGCCAGGCTGGGGAGGGCCAGGGACATGGGGCTGGGGGAGGCGATGGGAGGGAGAGGTCTTCAAGAACAACTGAAGGAAGGCATCAGGGCTTGAACGGGTGAGCCACAGGGCAGGCTCGAGCCGTGGGGCCAGGCCAAACTGGGAGCTACGGGGGCTGGGGAGGTGGAGACCTTGCGCTTGTCTGGACTGGCCTGTGTCTACCTCTGCGGGGCCTGTGGTCACCTTGTCTAGCAGCAGGAAGATGGGCACAATGATGAAAAGGATGATGAGGAGGGTCTGGATCATTATGATGCCATCTTTCAGTGTGTTTCGCTGCTTCACCTGTGCCAATGTGCTGAATCCTGAGGAGGCAGAGGAAGGGCCGTGACGCTGAGTGAGTGCTTTATTGGGAGCCCTCCACCCACCCAATGGTGAGCGGCTCTTTGTAACCCCTCAAGACCTGGGGCCATAGCTACTCCCACCGATGGCTGCTCACCCCCGGTGGGTATGGATGGCTATGTGAGCACCCCACCACCTGGCACACACCCATGACTCGCAGCTCTGTGCCGCAACCCTGGATGATACTGGGGGACTTCCCGGTCTTCCTGTCACACTGCTGCTGGCAGAAGTAGATGCCGTTGTCCTCAAACTGGATGCCTTGGATGGTGAGGGTGTGGACGGTGTTATTGCTGGTCTGCAGGAAGCGGCTCTTTCCTTGGGGCACCACCGAGATCTCCTCATCTTTTGCCTGCTGCTGCTTCCAGGACCAGGTCACCTTGCTGGAAATTTCTGTGTGACACTGCATTTTCACCACAGAGCCCCTTTTCCTAGCCATGAAACGGGGGTGCTGCCAGATCTGGGAACAAGCACTTCCTGTGAAAACCAATGCCAGGCTCATAATCCATGCTGGCACCTTCCTGAGTGCCAGCCTTTCCTGCGGACCCCAGCCGGGGGAGAGCAGTGACTGTGACTCTGGTTCAGTCTACTACCTTGCCTGTCCTTGCTCTTGAGAGAGTGGGACAGTTATGAGGCAGAGGTGTGTGTGTGTATGTGTGTGTGTGTGTGGGGGGCAGTCGAGCCATGTGAGGAGCCAAACGCCAAGCCACTGGATCCACTTCTTCCTGACTGCCCCTCTGCCCATTTGAATGTCCTTTAGAAGGGCTCTGGAACCTTCTGACCTTTCTCCAGGCCCTTAACAAGAGCCAGACCCAGGCTTCACCCGCCAGGCATGGATGTCCACAGGGCAGCCTGTGGGCCTGGGCCAGTGCTTCCAGCAATTCTTCCCCTGTGTTGCTCTGCATCTGCCTGGAATCTTCAAGGGCTCCCCATCGCCCCCAGGGGATAAAGGCTGAACCCTTGGCCTGCCTACTGAGACCCTCCTCCGTCGGTCCCCTCTGACCTCCTGTGTGGCCCTACTGCACCTTGTGCCTGCACCTTCAGCTTGGGAAGGTTTCCTACCTGCTCTGCCTGGGGCTCAGCGATTGGCTCCTGGGGAGTCCCTGGGGAGTTCCCCAAGGGCTCATTCCCAAGCTGACTCTCACTCTCCTATATGCAGACACAGGCTCCAGGCCTCTGAGGAATCCTCCCTGGCTCCCAGCTCTGACCCCAGGTTATCCCAGCACCCCAGTGCCAGGACTGGAGCACCCTGGTCCTGATGAAGATGACAGCTGGCTGAGGCGGGGCCTTAGAGGGAGACCCTAAGGAGGCCTCGGGATGGGAGTCCTGGGTGGGGAGACTCAGGCAAGAAAGGGGTAAGGAGCAGTTCCCAGGGCAGTGGCAGCCCTGAACACAAAGTCACCCCCAGAAGCGTTGGGCAAGGTGACTGACCTTTGGGGTTCAGGTACAAGTCCTCATCTGTGAGTGGTGACACCGGCTCACCTGGAGAGGGGACGAAGTGGGTGGGACCAGGTCAGGCCTCTCTAGCCTGGCTGCTCCACCCCTGTGCCCTCCGCATTCCCGAATCACTCCTTCCTTCCAGGATGGAGACCCCCCTTCACGATCCCCCAGCCCTCCCTGCCCCTGCTCTGGGGAGACAGGTGCATGGTTAGAGGTGCCAGACACCCCACCTCTGGCTCCCTTTCTGTCCTTGACCCTCAGAACGGCACTGAGGAGGCTTTTAAATGAGACAGGCAGGAAGTCGCAGCTGGGAGGACTCACCCATCTTCCAGACAAGGAGGGAACCATTTCTGCAACAAGCATCTCCCACGGCCTGGTGGGAGCCTCCTCCCACTGTCCGCCCACATGATGTCTCCAGGGCCTTGGCATAAGGCACACTCGGCCCCCCTCTTCCTTCAAGACCCAACCCCTCCACCATCACAGCTGACACCTTTGTTTGCCCCTTGTGCTTGGCTCAGTCCAACACCACCCTCCAGCATAAGAGGGCCTGTGGCTGCAGACCCCGAACCCACGGCCAAGGCTGAGGTGCGCAGACCTGGGCTCTGGGGTCAGTCAGAGGGAGGCAGGAAGCAGAAGGTGTAGGAGGAAGCAGAGAGAACAGGAGTCTGAGCGGAGGACACAGCGCGAAGCCAGCAGGCCTCACAGGGGCCCGTACCTGAGATCAGCAGCACCAACACCATCAGCCAGTTACCGGACGCAGGACACAGCACCAGCCCGGCCATGGTCACAGCCCTGTCCCTGAGCCCGTGACCACGTCTGAGGTTCTTGGGGGAAAATGTGTGACTTCTGGGCTGCCGCTGGTCCCCTCCCCGCCTCTTCCCCCCTCAGGCCCCTTCCTGCCATGCAAATGGGGACCCAGGGGAGACAGAAGCTCGCAGGGGATGGGGGGAGGGCGGCTCCTGTCAGCTGGACTTCTAAGGCTTGAAAGTGGCCCAGCTTGGGAAGGACAGCTGGAGCCCTTGGCAGAAGCCTTGGACAGGGACACAGCCTTTATTCCCTCCCTGTGTCCTCACCCCACTGGTGCTCATCTCTGGGCCTGCCGGCCTGCCCTCTGCAGTCTGCCCACTCCTGAGGGGAAGAGCTCTGCAAATGTCCATTCCTAGGCACACAGTTACACACGAATGGATGAATCTGAGCTCAGTCCCTCTGATTTAGACCACCCTCACCCTTTGTGGGGACAGTACAGGGCCAGAGGTCAACAGTGAAACCAGGCCAGGGACCAGGCCAGAGCAGAGTGCAGGTGGCCATACTGGAAATTGAACTTGTGGAGGAAGGGAGCCTTCGAAGTTCTTGAGCAAAAGCAGGCCAAGGTGGGAGCTATTTAAAAGACACAATTAGGCCCTGAGGAGGGGCCTCTTCACCATGCTGTGCGAGAGTTTGCTGTGGGCTGCCAAAGGGGGCAAACTTGGGTAGAGGTGGATTAGAGAAGACTTGCCACTTAACAGCCAGGGGCTTCTCCCGGGGGCTCCTTGGGACTCTGAGGGCACTGAAGTGTTGTTCACGGCTCCAGAGGGTCTTGGGCGGGGGCCAGGGGTTAGTGTGGAGGAGCGCCCAGGTTCTGACAGGTCTGACTGTATCCTTCAGGTCAGCAGGGCTGAGAATGGAATCTCAGCATTCAGAGCTTCATCTAAACTTAGCTTTGTGTCCCCTACCCCAGGGTCCCCTTGGGGTTTGCCCTTGTGCAGTGTGGCACCTGTGCAGCTGTCTGCGGCAGGCTTGCAAACCTCAGCCCCGCAGCTAAGACCTCTGGGAGTTTTATGTCTCCTGGCAACTTCTTTCTCTTTGGTCCCCTCACTTTTTCTCATCCCCTGATCCCCAGGAGAGGAAGACAGATGATAAATCTTCAGTGCCCTCTGTCCATATCTCAGTACCCATGATCCTCCATTTCTCAAATAGCCCGTGAGCCCGGCAGGTCCGCTTGGGCTTAGGGAGGTGCAGATGCTTCTCCATGGCAGGGTTGGAAGGCAGAAGGTCAGGTGACACCCATCTCTGTCCTGGGGCTACGCTTCACCCCACAGGGTGGGGGGATACTCGGAACACTGCAGCCAGGACCTGAGCCATGAAAGTTAGGGACACGAGGGTCACGTGTTCATCTAAGGGACAGCTCGTTCTAGGCACTCCCAGGTGTTCATACTTATTTCCAGATGTTCCAATGGAAAAAACAAACAAACACAAAAACATTTCTCTGAAAAGATGTCAGATGTTCAGCTCACGGAACAAACAGCCCGAGAATAAAAACATCACTGAGGTCAGCACGGGGACCGTGGGCCCCACCGAGTGCTGGTGGCAGGGACTGGAGGGAGACCAAGCCAGGGTGGACAGCAAAATCCAGGGTTCTCTCCCGTGAGCGAGGTTTACCCTCCGTGAGCCCCTGGTGATGGAGATCATAGTCAGCTTTGAGGCTAGCGTCCCTCCATGTTGGAAAGACATCAGGAAAGGCTTGGGTCACACACGTGTGCATGGGTGTGTGTTCATGTGTGTGTGCTGCCTGGGCCGTGTGCTGTGGGGCCTGCTGAGGAGCCGGTCCTGGGGCCTAGGGTGACTGTGGGGGCACAGAGACGGGCAGGGGCATTTGGTACCCTCCCAACTCACAGGCATCGTCAGCCCCTGTGGGCGGGATGCAGATGTGCCCTTTGGGTTTCATTCCCATTCATGCCGAGCACAGAGCTGCTCTCAGGAGAGGTGAGGCGGCAGGTTGGGGTTTGAGGCCACCCGCAGAGTTATTTGTCACAGATGGGGCTGTACTGTTCCCTTCCTGGTGACAACAGCAGCAAGCCCTGTCCTGGGCTCAGGATGCCCTTTGCTTCTCAGAGCAGGAGGTTTTGGAAGCCTTTCCCCCCACACCACACACCGACATCTGGCTTTCCCTCCCATCCAGAAAGACCATCAAAATGAGAGATGGGAGGACGGGGAGAAGGACGAGGGACTCAGGTTGGGCAAGGGACCTCAGTCACCCCTGGAAGGAAGGGGGCAGGAGAGTCTTAGGGAAGGAAGAGTCCCCCTACTCTCCACCTGCTGCCTGGATGGCCTGCTGAGTTCAAACCTAACCCTAGTGTACCAGCTAAATCCTCGCCAAGCCACTGTCCCTTATCTGGGAGTATTTGGAGGCAGTTATGATGTTCATAGCGAGCACCCCTGCATTCATGGGCCGGGGGCACCGAAGGCCTCCAGTGGCAGAGACAGTGACTCACGAAGAAAAGCATTCCCTCACCCCGCATGTCCCACAACAGCGCCAAGGTAGGCAGCACCCATTCTGAGGCCAATCTCCTCACCCGCATGGCACGCCAATTACCCTGTGCCCTTCATGAGTGGCCATATACAGCAGGGGCACTTGGCAAGGTGGGGGCACCACGCACCCTCAGGGAGAGGAGCAGCTCACACGGCGGGAGGGGAGGGGAGGGAAAGTGTGAGCCTCCAGCCTACGTTGTCTGTTCCCACCCAGTATTTTTCCTCTTTTTCTTTTGCCATTCAAGGGTCAGGAGAAGGACGAGTTGGAGCATCCTGCGATCTTCCGGTCCTCAGGGAGCCCCACAGGAGCTCCGGAGACACTTGAAGTTAGAAAGAGCCTTGTCCCTAGAGCGGGATCGGTGCCCTGGGAGACTCAGACCCCTCCCCGAAGGGACGCTCGGCAGCGCCCCCACCAAAGACAGCTGTGAGGTGGGGAGGGGCACAGGGACGACTGAGGGACATCGTGGGGCAGCCTGTGGGCCAGGGCCAATGTGTGTCCTACATTCCCCCTGCCACATAGCCCCAGAACCCAGGAAAAGGGGGGCAGACATTTACTAGCCTGGGGGAACATAGCCCGGGCATCAGAGGTCATTACAGAAAACACAATTACTTATTAAATTACATGCCAGCCACTGGATTTGTGAGCTAAGGTTACTACATAAGAATGCTCTGTTGTACACAGGTCCATGTGACCCTGGACTCTCTGGCCAAGGGTCAGGGACAGTCTTGGGGGGACAGTACTCTTCCAAGGAGACAGAAGAGATGTGAGCTCAACAACCTCCTTGATGTCACTGAGGGAGCAGAGAGTTGAAAGGGGCTTTGGAGAGCAGGGGCTCGGAGCATAGCATTGTCAGATGTATGTCTTGGGAGCTAGCTGCCAGTTCAGAGGGACAGGAGGGTGAGACTGAGCCTGCCACACCCTGCCCCAGCGGCTCTCTCTGTGTTCCCTCTCAGCAGCACGGCCCACCAGCCCTTCGTCCTTCTTGCTGTCCTAAGCTGTCCTCCGCATCCTCCTGTGGAGGTGCAGAAAGGAGAAGGCCACACGTCCGAGGCACCAGGATAGGGTTTATTGTAAGAACTGTACAAAGAAGCTCATCTTCCGGCCTGGCTCCAGACTTGCTCCCACCTGGACAAGGCCGGAATGGGTGTCAGTCTGCAGGGAAGAGGGCCACAGGCAGGGAGAGGCCAGGCCCTGCCATCTGCTCTTCCTCTGCAGTGGACAAAGGACATGCAATCCAACAGATTCCCAAGTCTCTGGGGCCACATCAGTCTGAGGCCCATGCAGGAAAGGCAGAGGGACAGGGTGCTGGGAAGGGGGAGGCTCATCCCTTACGGCAGGTACCGTTTTTGTGGGGGGAGGAGGGACCAGGGATTGAACTCGGGACCTTGTGCTTGCAAGGCAGACAGCGGCACCACTGAGCTACATCCCTGGCCCTATGGCGGGTACGTTTTGAAGGAAGAGGCAGAGTCACGGCAGAAAGAGATGGAAGGAGTTGAGGCCTCCTTCCACAGGCAGAAGACAGGGAGCTGGCCGAGGCCATAGGTATGATGAGAAGAAACAGGAACGGGAAGAGAGAAGCTCATCGGAGGGAGGGGGAGGGATACCCAGGCAGGATCTGGGGGGTGGGCAAGAGAATAGGGCAGATAACAAAGAAGACTCTGGCCCATGGGAACGTGTGTGGGGACATAATACACAGGTGCACACACACATGTTGTTTTGAGGGTTTTGCTGCTTCCTGAGTTTTAATCAAACTGTTCATGAGAAACAAGAAGAAAAAGAAGAGGAACTTAGGCCAACAGAGGACTCAAAGCGCAAACCTTACAAACACATGTCACAATCACCCACACCCTCAGGGCACACACACAGGCACAATCACATGGCTAGGCAGGCACAGAAGACACACACACACACACACACCCCAGCTGCGTTCACACAGACTTCAGGCCCTCCGGGGCACACTGACACACACAGACACAAAGACACCCAGACATACGCGCTCTTACACACACACTGCTCTACAATGGTTCAAACACACAGCATGAACATACACGTAGCTACTCTCTCGGGCCTACCAGCAGACACACAGCCACACACACGGGTGACAGAACCTACAGGCCCCTGAGGAGGACTCTCACACCCTCCCAGCTTGGCCTCTGTTCTCCAGGAGCCAGCAAAGATCGATGCCACCATGTCCAGATCAGCGGTTACAGGCAGCAGGAAGTTGGAAGGTTGAGTGCAAACCAGGCGAGCCTTCCCTGCTGCACGCCCCAGTGTCAACAGCTGTCACACGAGCTCCACTATAATTCTTAGGTCACTTTAAAGAAGCGAGAAGGACACATAAGGACGGAGAGACAGGCATGGGAAAAGACGAGAAGGGAGAGATCTCTGAGGCTGGATGGGGCTACTGGTGTTTTAATGAAGGCGAGAGGGGAGAAGAAAAGGAAGGAAGAGTATCTTCTTATTCAACGTCAGGATCCCTGATCCCACCAGGTCTGGATACGCAGGCCAAGTGCAGCCATACAGCAGGCAGGGCTCGTACTTCACATCCGTGCTTCAT